AAGAGATCAGTGCCGAGACATAAACCCGGCTTAATACCTCCGCGCCTCTATGGAGAAACCTTCAACACGAAATTTCGTAAGAACACGTGAGAAGGAGGCAATAGCAATAAACAACGAGATTCAAGTATCCGTGAAGAGCTGAGCGAAATGAAAACGACTACATAACGAAGCATTGAGGCATTTACAGAGGAAGGTGACTGGGTAGAAAAATAAGAAATGCGACGCCTGGCGAAAAGTAGGAGACTGGCCTCAGAAATAGAAAAATGTGAGGAGTCTTTATGAATTATTCATAACACAACCGTAAGCAGATGCTCACGAAAGTGGTTGAGGGAAAAACATGCACGCTAGCCAAAAAGATGTAATTTCCGCCTTGTACGAAGCCAACAAGTAATAGACTGTACATGCTGATCGCCTGACAACCAGTGGACGCCAAGAATTATAATCTGGGTTTTTTCTGAACCAGCAACTTTAGAGGCAGAAGGCGGAAAATAGAGAATATTGGAGGAAATTAACACTAACATTGAGGGCACATTAATTGCGAGGACAACTTGGATAAAAGATAACGAATTTTCATAAGGCATAAGGCCAACTTCGGCACAGCTTTTAACTCAACGACGTTTGCTGAAAGCATTACTGAATGTCTGGCGGACTTTGCCTTATTGTTAAACGACGAAAGGAAGATTTTCGCAACTCTGACAAGACATGTTCAACTTACAGACAGACTAAGATAAAATATGACCCCGATGTTTCCTTGGTAGCCACAACATAGCAGCTTTTAATTCTGCCAATAGATATTACATTGCAACTGCTCATAAGAGGTTTACAGGACAAAAGCGCAAAGGCCCTTGCTTTGAATCTTGGCTCAAACTAAAGGCCTTTCGACTATGAACATGGCACTGTACCGGAATATCAGCGCGGTTTTAGACTTAAGAGTTATGAGTTAAAGACGCCGAATGTCGTAAGATTTTTATATCTCATATTTGATGCAAATATTACGGTTCAGACGAAGAATCCTTGCATTGAAATTCATACCGACGTGCATCTTTAAAGCATCCAAAAGTTTTTTCATGTTTAGACTAGAGTTTCAACTTGACGATGTCAGATCTACGAGTTTTTTGATGCCTCTGTTTTTGATTTTGTTCATCCATCAGCACAAATAAAGAAGCACGACCAGTTATCACATCTCACAGCTGTGCAGTAGTGATTCTGGCGGTGAACAAGTTCTCGGAACGAGTTGTCAGTATAGGAGCAGCATGGCCGTGCTGTCTGTTCATTGAAAGTAAGTGTCACTCTGAGTCCGAAGAACGGCTGTTGAGCCGTTGAAGAACAGGTGACGCTTTCGTGTCTCGGAACTGGCCCTGTGGTTTGCAGCAAGTGTCAAGTGTGTTTACCCGTTTGCATGACAACTGTACCTCAGAGATGCTTCACGAACAGATTGTCCTCTGAGCGCATTTCGCAGTCAGCAAGTCGCCGCAGCCGTTGGTGCATGAGGTTTCATATTATTTTTGACAGAGACGATTTTAGCAGATTAGGAAGGTGACCACCTTATTTACTAATTCAAACATATCATGTGCCATTCGTAATTACCTGACTGAGGTTCAGGAACAAAAAATTATAATTTGAAAGTGCAAAGCGCAATTGCAATTATACACTTAAAAGTTTGTCGAAAAACATTTCGATTTTGCGCCCATGGTTCACAGAAGAACTAATTTTTTGAGGCATATTTAGGACGTCGCACCGTAAACAAGAATGGCGATCAATATCCTTGGTTCTGAAATGCCTTAGAACTCGTTTCGGCAGTTTCCAACAGGACTATCAATGAAGTATCCTCCAGGTACGATGACATCATCGGCTCACGAACGAGGAGGTGTTGAAGAACACTCTGATGATGATGCTGTCTGATACCGGCACTTCTGGTTTGGTTTGATGAAACGGTCCAAAGCGAGAATGGAAAGACGTTCGAAATTTTCTTGAGTGGGAACTCTCTACTAGGGCCTGGCAACATTATTTTGAGGCAAATCTACTTGTGACGAGAACTATGACCTTGTGAACGTTACCTGATACCAGTCTGAAAACGAAAAATCATAAATCCATATACGTTAAGTGTTTAAGCTCTGTCGGGCCCGGATATCGAAGAGAAACAATGACAAGGCTAGCAACACTTGATTTCAGCGTTACCCATGAGGAGGCATATGAGCTGGCCATGGATCTGCTGTATTTGAGGAGCTACAGTGCGAAATAAATCTCATCATTTTTCTCTACAGCTCATTAGAAACGATATTTCAGAAGCTGGTGCTTTTGTACACTCCTGCATGAGTATGAAAGCAATTTCGGCGTATGCCAGAGTATGTCAAATAGCGCACGACTTCTCCAAGACGAGAAACATAGTTCATTATGGACATAAGGCGGTTTTGGCAAATCAAAAGATGCGAGATAAATCTGCGCTGCAGGACCACAAATTCCCATAAGGTCCCAGCCTGTTTAAGCATCTCCTGGCGTAAACTACGATGTGCAGTGGGGCGGTGAATTAAGCCTTGAAATCGGATCTTGTAGGAAGCATGCGTCATCTTTTCTGCTTTGGCGTACGAACAACTTCCCATGTGCCTTAACTTATGATGTTGAGAAGAGACCTTCGTTTAAGACCAATCAACTATGACAACAATGCAAAGTAGACATATTTGTGATCAGTGGTCCCTTGTGTACTTCATCATTTGCAGCACCCTATTATCATTTAGGTTGTGACGCGGTGCTGAGTTTTGCCAGCGTGTCACCAGCCAGTTATATTTATTTTGAAGGCAACGCCTGGCGAGGAAGAGTCAAAAGATGAAGAAGAAAAGAAAGGGAAAAAATATAGGTAAAGATTTCAGAGCCCTGCAAACACCGGTGATAATGATTTCTGTATAAACAAAATTAGTATGCGTGACATAGCTGAGAGAAGAACAAAACTAAGGTCACAACAACCGGTCGTCTGGGGTGAATATTGCTGGCTGATTTGATCTGATTTGAACCACTCGCGGCAAACGAAGTTCAAGAAAGAAGTTTGCCAGTATTTGCAAACTTGGGGTCGAAATGTGTGTCAACAGATTTGGGACCGTTCCAGCTTGTAATTTCCTGCTCCCTTCTCAGACAGCGATACTACACTGGAAGGTTGGAAAACGACTTCTGGACCGCAGCTCAAACTCATGATCTCTCGTCCGTAAGTCACACCCTCTACCGATTGGATTATCCTCATTGTAAACTAAAGCCAATGAATTATTTACTGTAGTTACTAACAACGAAGAATATAAGCATATAAAAAAATGCTCGGTAATCATCAAGATACATTTTAACTACATACATAACACTAACTAGATACCACTCGAAAGATAACGTGCTTCATATGAACGAATTCAATTCTACAACGACATCGGCGGCATATGAAACGTTGAGTACCGCAGCTGTCCTTACGATCGTTTATGTGGGCTTTTTCTTCAGTGCAGAAATGATGAGTATGCCCTTTGGGGTCAAGTGCGACTTGAGCGACTTTGTATCGATGTCTAACGGCAGCTTGTAGCAGCGGTGGATCTCGCGAACGATGTAACCGAATTCGTCTTTGCGCTGTTCGTGAGCACAGTGGATGATCAATTCGTTACCCAGCACTTTGACCTATGACAGAACGACATTCAGAACAGAAAAGCAAGAGAGCTGTAGAGTGAAGAGACGGAAAACATGAAGAGATTACGACAGAAACACTGCCACACAGGTTCAAGGGCAACAGGGTAAAGAAAATGACTATCAGGGGACAGGACTTGGTTATTGACATTTTGGCCGGAGTCCTACAGACATACATGAGTATGGCTATTTTGGCTGCAGCTGTTTCATTCAGTTATTTCATAACGTTTTATAATCACATTTATAACGGTATCACCGACTAACATTTCGGCAGTCACATAAAAAACTAATAAAATAATAAAGGTTTGAGAAATTTCCTTTAGCCTGGTGTGTACTTGGAAACAGAGAGAGCGCGTGAACTCTTTATTATGACTATCACCGTTTCAAGCAAACTACATTGGTCATAATGAGACCAAGCAACATCGTTTTCGCTGAAAATGTCTAATCAGTTGGTTATTGATAAA